TTATCAGAAATAAAAATATTAAGAAAAAGAATAGAAAACTTAGAAGATATGCAAAGATATATTTTACAAAAATTAGAATTTTTAGAATTAAATAAAAAAGAGAAAAATCCAGAAATTACTCCTGAACCAGAATTAGTTCAAGTTTTTTGTAATTCAGAAAAATTAAAAAGTATTAAAGTAAAATGTTATGTTAGAATAGAAAATTTTGAAATAATTTGTTTAGATTTAATAGATTCAGGATGTAGTCACTGTGTAATTAATAAAAGAATCATACTAGAAAAATATATAATAAAGTCAAAAGAACCTATAGAAGCCCAACAAATGGATGAGAATTTTTATAGTTACCAAGATATGTTAAAACCAGCAAGAATTAGTTTTGAGACTAATTGTGGAAAAAGTACAGAATATAGTTTACCTAAAGACTCAGTATGGGTAAGAGAATTATCTTTAAATACAGATTTAATTTTAGGATTAAGTTTCTTACTAAAAGATAATGGTAGCATAATAATTAGCAAAGATTTTATGCAATTACAAAAATTTACAATTTGTGTACCTACTTATACTAAAACTATTCCATCAGAGTATACTGAGAAGCATGGTGGGATTAAAGAAAAAGAATATGAGTGTAGTAGAAAAAGAGAATGTCAATTAATAGAAAAAGAAGAATTAGAAAATTTTTTAGAAGAATATTATGAAAATTTTAAGGAAGAAGAAGAAATATGTTTAGATTTTGTAGAAATTGAAAAAATATATAATTTGTTAGTGACAGAACAAGATATAGAAAACATGATTAATAAATTAGAAAAATTAGAAATTTTAGGAGAAAATGTATTAAAATATTGGGAAAAAGATAAAGTTTTTTGTGAAATAAAAATGAAAAATCCAGAATATATAATTAAGACAAAAAATATTGATGCTACAAATCAAGATCAGGAAGATTTTAAGATGCATATAAAAGATTTATTAAAATTAGGAGTAATTAAAAAATCAGAAAGTCCACACAGATCAGCAGCTTTTATAGTTAGAAAACATTCAGAAATTATTAGAGGAAAAAGTAGAATGATAATTAATTATAAAAGATTAAATGATAATACATTATTATTATTATTATTATTATTATTATTAATAATAATAATAATAATAATAATAATAATAATAATAATAATAGATGTCTTTGTTTTCTTTTCAAGATGTTTAAATTGATGTCCATTTTTTTGACGCAAAAACTTTGTTTAGTATCGTAAACTCTCTTGAAAAAGAAAAGTTACTTTTGCAAGGTTTCCCATATATCAGTTAAAAACGCTAGAAATACCATTCAAATACATGTGTGAATACATGTACAAAGTCAAACCAAGACATTAGCTATGTTGGTGCACGGCCGTCAGTCTCCTCCATTTGTCTCTTGAAAAATTATTAATGAAATTGGAAGGCATTGCTCTAGTTAAACAAAAATGTAAAATAAGCGTGGACCCTAACCTTTGACCTTCCTAGTAAGCTTGTTCCCAACCGGTATTTTGTAAGTATAGCCAAACATGAATGATCAGGAGAAGAAGAATGATTTATAATTTCTGTTTAATATGTGCAACAATCAAATCAATTCTCACTTTCTGATATCTCTTGCATGGTGTTTGTATTCCAATGTTCACCCAGAAATATTTTTAGAGATCCAATGGTTTTTACTTATTGTTCTTTGCTTTTCTTCTCAATTATAGTTGGTACAAATGTCTAAAATGTAGTATCTATTTTTATCTCCTTTTTTTATAGGCCAGGACCGATATTTAAGGCATAGCCCATTTCGAAGATTGCTGAGAAGAAAATTAAGGAGGGCGATAGGGTGGTTTCACTCACTACTTAATGGTTTTTTTTTGTTTTTTTTTATTTTTTTAATATTTTATGGGAAAATGTATTGGATTTTTAGGTGTTTTAGAAATTTGGATCCGGATTTTGTATGAATATTGTTACATTTTAGAGTTTAATTAATAATGATTATTGGAGTTATTTAATATAGTTATTTTCTATTCTGTTTTGTGGTTAATATATGTAAATCACACTACCAATAAATAAATAAATAAATAATAAAAAGGACCTACGGCTCTTCTCTTTTTCTTAAACGTTGCAAAAGATAGACTTTTACAAAATTTAACAAACGTTGCAAAAACGTTTCCCTCAATGGTAACATCGACCTTTGTAATACACGTCAAAATGCTGCAATAGGTCTTTTGCAGCCTTGTTTTGGTGTAGCGTGGAAAGATAAGTTCAAGTTCGACTGTGTGGAGATGCTCAAACTATTCAATTTGAGTTGAAATTACAAAATTGCAAGACAATCCAATCAAACTTGACATGATTGTTAGAGTGTTGATAGTATGATGAATGATACAAACTACTAACATAGGTTACCATTGAGAGAGAGAGAGAGAGAGAGAGAGAGAGAGAGAGAGAGTAAACTATCTCGTTGAGGGGAAGTTTAATTTTTTAGTGACACTAATCAAACTTTGATGTATTTCTCATTGCTCTGACGTTTATTTCCAATTATTACTTCCAAGTACGTAATTGGTAGCTGCCCTTCATTATAAGGAAGCACCTGATTAAGTTACTTGTCATGTTGAAGTTTAAACTGCAACATCTCTTGTAGACAAAATAATGACAATAACAACTGTAATTCATTTAAATGTCGTATCAGTTGCCAAAATGATTGTAAAAATAACTGAGAAATTATAATCCTACACTACACCTTAACTACGAATAAATCATTGAAATAGGTTCTTCTTAACACAAATTCAAATCATGTAGTGTAGCGTAGTGTCATAATATATCATGTCTTTTCTTTTCTTTTCTTTTCACTTTTATATGATATACTTTATTGGCTCGAGCTGAAGATAGTTAATTAAGTATAAGATGATGACGATTTAATAATATCGCTTTAGGATTAGTTCTGCTATACCCACAGCATGCATGGCAAAATAGTGACAAGATGAAAGTTCACTTTGACAAGTGCATGTATACGTGCTCCATGCACAGAACGAATCGGGACCGGAGGTCAGTTAGGGCGGACGTCAACTGTTGACCGTTGACTCAACGATCGTAATAGTGATGTCGTTTATTAATATTTGATTAAATAACATTAAAAATTCTTCAATATATATATATATATATATATATATATATATGCACTAAAAGGTAAAAATTCTATACATATGAAAATATAATTCAAACGTACACATGGTTATATTGAGCCAAACATCTTCTCCATTAATTTTTTCCACTTATTCCTAATTTTCTAAACCTAAATTTCCAAATCACAAATAAAAAATCATAAATGATAAATTACAACTCATAACTCATACAACGTAAATTTTTTATCATAAATCTCAAATTCACAAATCACATTTCTCATTTTTTTGTCAATTAAAGTAATGCATAAAACATAAATTATAAATTCATAACTCATAAATAATAAACAAAAAATCGGATTATGTTATTATGTGGACTGTGAAGCGTGATTGTGTGAATACAAGTGACATAAGTCACATAACACTGTACAAAAACTTTAAAAAGAGGAAGAAAAATAGGGAACAATAGGGCGGACGTCAATTGTTGACCGTTGACTCAACGATTGTAATAGCAATGTCGTATTTTCATATTTAATTAAATAATATTAAAAATTCTTCATTGTATTTGTAAATGCACTAAAACCTAAAAATTCTGTACATATGAAAATATAATTCAAATATACACATGGTTGACTTAAGCTAAACATCTTCTCCATTAATTTTTTCACTTATCTCTAATTTCCTAAACCTAGATTCCCAAATCACAAATAAAAAATCATAAATGATAAATTACAACTCATAACTCATACAACGTAAATTATTTATCATAAATCACAAATTCACAAATCACAATTCTCATTTGGTTTTGGTGGATTTGCAAGCAATGGAAATATATCTATGGTCCAATCCAGTCGTCCAAGGATTGTGGCCATTCATTGGGCCTTATTATTATTATTTTTTAAAAGCCCAAAAATGGAAAAACACAAAAAACTAGGCCCGGTCCAAACCGACAAGCAGTGTATTCATCTTCGAACTTCTTCCTCTCCTTTCTTCTATCGCAATTGGCACCCGATTAACGGCTCCTACTAAAAGTTTCGACGGAGCCCAACACAGGCGACCGTGCACCCTCATCAGGTGCTTGCTTCACCACGGCCATGCAGTTAAGGTTACTTCCTAAAAGGAAACGATATAGTAATCGTTGCACTTGTAATGGTAACAACCAAGATTACACGTAATGTTAGGTTGTGTCAACCAATCAAAAGTTTTGATAAGACCTCTGTAGCTCGAAAACGATGACAATACACATAAGGCTTATTAGCACAAAACATCTCTTCGTTTGATCGTTAGTGTGTAAAACATCCCTATATTTCAATTTTTTTCATTTTCACTCTTATTTCAATATTTCATTGTGAAAAACGTTCTTCCATCTATTTGTTGTGAGTTACATCGTTAAATGCACATAGACTCATTTTTAATTTTAAAATGGAAGGGTAAAATGGTCAAACCACTTCAAAAACCTTTTCTTTCCGCTATAAACAGATTAACAGATTATTCTCAAAATAGAAAAAGAAAAAAAATTAATCAAACAAAGATGAAGTCCATTATTCATCACCATCATAACTATGGCTGATGTATCTTCGAAAGTCCATTGTTTATCATCACCATGGGCACATTTTCGAAAATCGAATTTTGGCATCCACACTTGCCCTAATCCCCCACTACTATTCAAAACAAACCAATATTCGAAATCACAAATCTCAGTTTCAAAATTGTATATCAAAAGCTAAAGCTATAAATCGATTTTCCCAAATTCGAACATACGTAAAATGTCCCTAAATGAAAAACTGATTTGCGTATAACATCTCGACGTTCAAACAATGCTTGCATAAAAATCCCAACTTTTCAAATATACTTTCATAAAACGTCACTACATTTTGACAATGTTTGGGGATAACGTCTCTGCATTTCAAATTTCTACGAAAATTGTCCCTATTATATCTTGTAAGCATCCCTATCATTCAAAGAAACAGAATCACTGTAATCAACCATAGCAACTCGATGCACTAATTAACCACGCAACTTAAGACACTAATCAACCATGAAAACTCAACATACTAATGAAACTACAAAATTAAATCAGTAGTAGAATTAAGAGTGAACTGAATTTACATTTAAAATAGGCGAAATGGAGATTTTTAGACACACCAGTTTCAGCTGTTATAATGTTGATCATTCAGAAACATCAACAAAAGAAATTTACAATTCAACAACTTGTCCAGGTTGACACTACAACTACATTCAACAAAAACCAAAAAAAATGGACCTATTGGCACTACAATTGCTTTCAACAAAAAAAAAAAAAATTAAAAAAAAATGAACATACCGTCCCTAATTGCTTGCTAATGGTGGTGACTCTTTGCAGCCCTTCCTATTTTGCCCAAGTTCACCACATTTTTGGCATGTTTGAGTTTGGCTTGCTCTCTTACCTACACCAGATATGCCTATTGAAGGTGTCTCCGAAGGAATTTCAGTTTGAGAAGACTTTCTAGGCTTCTTCGCTCGACTTGAAGACTCCACCTCATTTAGTACTTTTCTTCTATTCTTTTTAGCCTCCCAGACTTTTTGGTATACATAGGTGATCAGAGTGGGTTGAGAACTAGATTAAGCCATGAGCTCGAACATGTGATGGGAAAAATTGAAGGCGTATATGTCATCAGGTAAAAAAAATCCTTTTTGTAGATGGCTTGTACATAATCAATTTCACTAAGGCCTCTAGATGCCATTAATGCAATCACATGGCAACAAGGGATTCCTGATAATTGCCAACCATGACATGTACAAGTTCTTTCCCCCAAGTCAACAGCATGTAGTACAACGCTTGCATTTTACCGAACTTAGAATATCTCATTTCCCGCATATTTAGTCCATTCAAACCTTGAGAGTTTACTATTATTATCAAGAATCTTTTGGATTCTAGGGTTTATTGCTGATGTTCATCTATCAGCTGACTCTCTATGGACTACAATAATCTTCATCAAACACAATCTAACCTTCTCAAGCATGGTTAGAATGGGCTTCTCTCTTGCAAGGACAATTGTGCTGTTGAATGATTCACACATTGTTCAGAAGCATGTAACATTGGGTCCACTCTCTGAAGTGGGATTTGTTCCAATGGGATGCTAGTTTTGGTTCAAGCCAACAATATGCAACCGGGTCTAGGTCCAACATCTTTTGTATGTATTCAAGACATTTTGGTACAGCAGTGGCTCTAGCTATATCCTAAAGGCAATGCTTCAAAGCAAGTCCCTTATGCGAGACACTGAAATTGTTGTATAAATGTTTAAAACATGTCTTGTGCTCCACATTCTCAAACAAATACCCAATCGCATTAATTAAGCTTTTTTGTTTATATGAAATGAATTTCCAGTGCAAGCCGTTATTTATATGCAAATCATCTTTCAACAACTCCAAAAAGCATCTCTAGTTTTCTCCATTCTCAACCCTAACAACTGTATACGCTATCGGATACATATTGTTATTAGCATGCACACCAACTGTAGACAACAACTGTTTACCTTGCTCTGTCTTCAAGAAGAAACCATCTAAACCAATCACTCTTCTACACCCCTAATGAAACCCTTCTTCAAAGCTCCAAAGCAAATATACAACTGTCTGAATTCTTCAGCATAATCCTCAACTAAAGCAGTGGTCCCAATATTTGTCTACTTTAACTTCTCATAGTAATCCTACAATACATTGTAATGGTCCACCACAATCTCTCTTATCTTTTCAAATGCTTTCTCCTTTGTTCTATACACTTGCCAATGTGAGGTATCACCCAAATCATCCATTTTTACCCTCTCCATAAATGTGCTTACTGATATATTTGGTTCAGAACTCCAATCATATAAACATCTATCTGCTAAATAAGAGAAGCGAACTCTAAAATTAATATACACCATGGGAGACAT